GGAGGGGAATGTAGCAGCAGAGGCAAAAGTGCAGAGGTGCCTGGGGAGTCAGATGTCTGGCAGATCACAGCGTGTCAGAAATCCGCTGCCTATATTGAGTCTATGAGTTTCTGCACCTACGAGGCTGAAGAAGTGAAGTTCATAGCCCCGGCTGTGAAAAGTGGTTTGTAATTTGCTCCCTCTCAGGATCAGGCCTGAGAGACTGGAGGCAGGGTGTTTTTTTGGTGAGGAATGTGTCCCCACAGGTAGTTGGGTTTTGTTGTCTTTGTTATATTCTGGTGTGCAGTTTGTGGGGGTACTGGAGATGGTTGGCAGGTTTTGTGTTTTGAGCTGTACAAAGTTGGCTTCAGTTCTGGTGATGAGGGTAGGTGCTTGTTTGAATGAACAAACCACTTTTCAGAGCTGGATCTATGAACTGCATTTGATCAGCCTCCTACGTAGTAGGTACAGTAACTCACGGACTCAATATACACAGTGGAGTTCTGGCACACTGTGACCTGCCAGACATCTGACTTCCCAGGTACCTCTGCACTTTTACCTGTGCTGTTACATCCCCTTTCCCCCCACTCCCCACCCCAGCCTTTCCCTCACCCCGACACCTCCATTTTCATTGACTGGCTTTCTTGCCTGCATTGCAGTCCAGGCCAGCCTCTGGCTTCTTTACTATTCCTTCCATCCAGGACCAAGAGACGCACCAACTGCAGGTATGTCTTCAGCCTGACAAAGGGTTTTTCAACCTGAAAGCTTCCTAAGACATATTTCTCTAACTATTCTGTTTTTTTTTTCATAATAAACATAAAAACACAAGATAAGCCATCACACACACCATGAGAAACATATATCCATCCAACCCAATATCTTTACTTCTTGCTGTCAGTTTCTTTATAAAAAGAAAGGCTTTGTGATGGTTCAGTTTGGCTACCTTAGATGGTGCTGGTACTACTGGTGCTGAGCCACCTGTTATTTTTACTTGCTGCCGTTTACTGGTGGACCAGTCCGAGGCTGTAGGGGAGGAGGAGGCCTCAGCGGGGCACAATGCCATGTTGTGCAGAGGCCCCAGTGCCAGGAAGGGCGCACCTTAACACACACAGTGTCACCCACCCATGTCATGAGTTTTGCCTGCCTGCAGCCAGAGGTGCAGGGCCCCAGAACCCAGACTCCCCCTGCACCTATCTCCTTGACAGCTGGCAGGCTTCGTGGCCGCAGCAGGGCCTAGCAGGCCTGCAGTTTCTTTCACCTCCCTGTGCCCTAAGACAGACACAGCTGGCAGGCTTCGTGGCCTCAACAGGGGCTACCATCCCTGCAGCTTTCATCTTGCTGCACCTTAACACACAATGTCACCCATGTCACAAATTTTGCTTGTCTGCAGCTTGAGGTGTAGTTTCCCCAAAACCCCTGTACCTATCTCCTTGAAACTTGGCAGGCTTGAGTTTTGCTTTCAAGACTTTGAGGTGTAGTTTCCTCAAACCCCTGCACCTATTTCCTTGAAACTTGGCAGGCTTCAGGCCCTCAGAAGGGGCTACTATTCCTGCAAGTTTCATCCAAATCAGGCTAGAAATGACAGAGCTCTAGGCTGTTTTGAGCTCCCCCATTATAGCCTATAGGTAAAATGTCAAAACAGCGAAACTCTTTCGACGAAATGAAATGGAACAGCAGTTATGAGTCGAAACAAAATGCTATTCTGTCAAAACAGAATGGTGCCACTTTGCACAGCACTATTTCTAATGTACAATTAGACTTCTGCAGCTGGCTCTCTCAGTTGCTTGTGTGAGTTTTTTTACAAAGGAATAGAAGAACAGAAAGCCATGTTAAAAAGAAAGATGCAATTGGAAAGTCACAGGCATTGGCAGATGAAGGAAGCCAGCTTCACCACCCTATGGATGGCACCAGCTTGGACTAACAGGAGCCATTTGTGCCAATTGTCATTGCTTGGGAAGTTCTAAATAAAAGACTTTTCTATATTGCAGACCAATCAAAACTGCTCTCCATTGCTCTGTTCCTTATACTATCAGAGCTGGAGGAAACACATCGAGGATGCGACCTAGTGAGATGTTACGCACATATTATCCCTTCCCAAGGCAAGGGCTGTAGTCTCAGCCATGCAGCGCAAGGCATATGCCAAGGACCATTCAGAGTGGATGAACTCCGAGAGGCAGGGCATTCCCTTCCCCTAAGCGTGTTTTACAGTTGAAGGTTCCTATTGATTTGATCCATACAGAGCAAACAGGTCTCTTACCATTTATTTGTAGTCAGGTTCCCTCCCCCACCCCTCACCTTTTGTGCAAGATAAGAATGAGCTGAATTTTAAAAATTCTTCTCTCTCACTCCTTAACAAGAATACCATACCCTATCCCCCCTCTGAAGCAGAACAGGTCACACAGTGAGTGAACACACACACACAAGTTTCCATCAATAAGTTTAATCAAAGTTTGTTAAATATGGAAGATAAATAGAATAATTTAAACCTCTTTTCTTGCTGGGCAGTGATACAGAGCAAGTGCTTTGTGGTTAGTGTGGGCTTGGCTTGTTCAACCTGATCCTGCTGCCTCAAAGGAGGGAGCTACTCACTTGAAAGGCTGTGGCTCATCCTATTTTCTTGCGTTAATGGTGCCAGGTTATAGTAATGCTCCCACTGAAGTGTGAATCTGAAGACGGAAGAGGTCACATATCTTTTCATTTGGCTGCATGATGAGGAAAACAGTTGTGCTGCACTTTAGTTTTGTACATCTCCATTAAGATGGGGCTACGACACTTGCTACTGACTGTCAATCCTGGATGCAAGCATGAAGTTGCAAGGAACACCAGCTATCCTGCCCTCTCCTCCTCACTACAGAAAGCAGCTAATGAGTACTGATAGGCACAGAAGACTGAGCCAGGTCCCTGGATGGCCTTTAAAAACAACCCAAGTTTTCTTATCCCAAAGTCCTAACATCATGGCTGCTACTAACCCATACAAATTGGACCCTGTGTACACACAGAACTCTCTGACAGATAAGGAATCAGTAGGACACTTAATTCCACAACTCTGGCTTATTTCTGTGGGTAAGTCTCGTCTGTAACAGCAGCAGGGCTCCAGGCAGGACACATCCAGCAGATCACTGCATTCTCAGATGCTTAAAAGGTGACTCAGCCTTGCAACTAACTTGGCTACCTGAGGCAGGTAGAATGATAGAAGTGTGTTTTCTGCTTTCCACAGAGGCCCCACCAGAAATGTGCTACCAGTAGCATTGCCAAAGAAACATTTAGCCTTTTAGAAAGTGTGCAGGAGATTGCTTCTCTCGCTCCACCTGTGAAGAACCCATAGAGCAGATTCAAAGGGCAGGGAGCACTTCAGGTCTGGTTTACGCGATAACAAGAGTTGTTACTGTGCATACCAAGGACATACAGCTAAAAAGCACAGCACACAAAGGCCAGAGCAGTACGCACACCTCCATATGCCACCATGTCAAGTCTCCTGCAGCACTGTTTCAAAAGGCACCTGACCAATAACCAAAAACAAGGCTGACTGATACTAGGAGCTGACCTTACTCTTGGCATTCGACATAGGTTAGGATGTTTGTATGCAGTGATGGGACCAGAGCCTGAGGCAGGCGGGGAGAGAGGGGGAAGAGAAGGGAGGACATAAAGGAAACTTCTCATCTCAAGCCTACCAGCCAGAGATTCCAACTGCACGCGTCTCAGGGCATCACACTGGCTATATGGCTCTGCCAAAACCCATCTCCAAAAGGGAAATTCCAGCATTTCAAAAGAAGGTCCCAACCATAAGAGGACATTGCTGTAATCACACAATCATCCTGGGTGAAGTGCTGCAGGACACGAGGTGCAGCCTGATCCTGGTACATCCTTAAATACCATCAATGCAGGAGTCTATGGGCAAAGGGCAAAGAGGAGCCAGGAAAGCCTTGTGTATAATCCAGGAGCCACAAGTGGGGCTACGCATGGGTTCTGCCAGACACAACCTGCTGGGAAAGGGCCAAGAGCAGGACACTGCACCTGATCCAGCCAGGGATATAAGCTCCTCACTACCTGCTGCTCACTACCTGACAGGCCAGGGCAGCCCCAACACAAGTCAGAACAGTCCCATGCTCTAAGGGAACATCAGGTAAACACTGTCATCCCCACAGTTTGGGAAGCATCAGATAGCTTTGATGTGGCTTGGCTGCATTCCTGCATACGGGGCAGAAGTGTCGGCACATGGAATCCAGACCCCTTCGTCACTGATGTCTCGTCTGCTCCCCGGTCTGGGTGCGTCACTGATGTCTTGTCTGCTCCCCGGTCCGGGTGCTTCCACACCCCAGCAGCACTTTGACCCTGACGGGGTGAAATAAGTGTAATCCTCCCTGTGCCAGAGGTCAGAATACTCCTGGCAGGGCTTGAGGGAAGAGGAAAAACAGCTGCCTGCAGTTTGCACAGGGGGCTTTCTGGAGATTAGCATGACAGAAATGGAGAATGGAGAAAGTTTGTGAGGAACAAGCTCCCAGGTCTCTTCTTTGGGGAGCAGCACCTAGGACTTTCTAAGGTTTCTACCAGCTGACAGCCCTGAGCTGCCCTTTCCCCTGATGCACTTTCTGCCTCCAGCAGACAATTAAACACTCTCTGCTTTGCAGTGGGAAGCTTTGTCAGGCCCGGTCACCACTCCAGGCTCCAGAGCACTTGCCAGCAGAGATGGGCTTCTCACCTGGTCTCATATTAGGTCTCCCAGGTGTTAAAAAAAAGTCAAACAGGGGAGGGCATAGGACTGTGCCAGGTGAGAACATGGGAGCTTTTAAAGCCAACAACTTTGTGTTATTAAATAAGCTAAAAATATAAATTTCAGGTTATATTTGCACAATGCCTAGTGAGGCAATTGGACTGATCACTGCTGTCCCCTGGGCA